AAGCTAGAACTAGTGGAAAGCACATGCACATAGGGGAGAGATCAACTAAGTAGGAACCGGAACATCACAACACAAACGAACTTGACAATGAGAAACTAGAACTAGTGAAAAGCACATGCACATGGAGGAAAGATCAACTAAGTAGGAACCGGAACATCACAACACATATGAACTTGACAATAAAAAGCTAGAACTAGTGAAAAGCACATGCACATAGAGGAGAAATCAACTAAGTAGGAACCGTAACATCACAACACATATAAACTTAACAATGAGAAGCTAGAACTGGTGGAGAGCAGATGCACATAGAGGAGAGAGATCAACTAAGTGGGAACCGGAACATCATAACACACATGAGCATGACAATGAGAAGCTAGAACTAGTGGAAAGCACATGCAAATAGGGGAGAGATCAACTAAGTAGGAATCGGAACATCACAACACATGTGAACTTGACAACGAGAAGCTAGAACTAGTGGGGAGCACATGCACATAGAGGAGAGATCAACTAAGTACGAACCGGATCATCACAACACATATGAACTTGACAATGAGAAGCTAAAACTAGTGGAGAGCACATGCACATAGAGGAGAGATCAACTAAGTAGGAACCGGAACATCACAACACATATGAACTAGACAATGAGAAGCTAGAACTAGTGAAAAGCACATGCACATACGGGAGAGATTAACTAAATAGCAACCGGAACATCACAACACATATGAACTTGACAACGAGAAGCTAGAACTAGTGGAGGGCACATGCACATAGAGGAGAGATCAACTAAGTAGGAACCGGAACATCACAACACATATGAACTTGACAATGAGAAGCTAGAACCAATGAAAAGCACATGCACATAGGGGAGAGATCAACTAAGTAGGAACCAGAACATCACAACACATATGAACTTGACAACGAGAAGCTAGAACTAGTGGAGAGCTCATGCACATAGAGGAGAGATCAACTAAGTAGGAACCGAAACATCACAACACGTATGAACTTGACAATGAGAAGCTAAAACTAGTGGAAAGCACATGCACATAGAGGAGAGATCAACTAAGTAGGAACCGGAATATCACAATACACATGAACATAACAATAAGAAGCTAGAACTAGTAGAAAGCACATGCACATAGGGGAGAGACCAACTAAGTAGGAACCGGAACATCACAACACATATGAACTTGACAATGAGAAGCTAGAATTAGTAAAAAGCACATGCACATAGAGGAGAAATCAACTAAGTACGAACCAGAACATCACAACACACATGAATATGATAATGAGAAGCTAGAACTAGTGGAAAGCACATGCACATAGGGGAGAGACCAACTAAGTAGGAACTGGAACATCACAACACATATGAACTTGACAATTAAAAGCTAGAACTAGTGAAAAGCACATACACATAGAGGGGAGATCAACTAAATAGGAACCGAAACATCACAACACATATGAACTTGACAACAAGAAGCTAAAACTAGTGGAGAGCACATGCACATAGAGGAGAGATCAACTAAGTAGGAACCGTAACATCACAACACATATGAACTTGACAACGACAAGCCAGAACTAGTGAAAGCACATGCACATAGAGGAGAGATCAACTAAATAGAAACCGGAACAGCACAACACATATGAACGTGACAATGAGAAGTTAGAACTAGTGAAAAGCTCATGCACATGGAGAAAAGATCAACTAAGTAGGAACCGGAACATCACAACACATATGAACATGACAATGAGAAACTAGAACTAGTGAAAGCACATACACATGGATGAGAGATCAACTAAGTAGGAACCGGAACATCACAACACATATGAACTTGACAATGAGAAGGTAGAGCTAGTGAAAAATACATGGACATGGAGGAGAGATCAATTAAGTAGGAACCGGAACATCACAACACATATGAACATGACAATGAGAAGCTAGACCTAGTAAAAAGTTCATGCACATGGAGGAAAGATCAACTAAGTAGAAATCGGAACATCACCTACTATCATGTGAGTGAAAGCAAGAGTCTAAGTAGTCTAGATCACCAACGTCGAACCA